TAACACTTTGAACTAATAACTGGTTTCTAAGCCTGACCAAGGAAGTCTCCAGAAGACCTGTGAAAAATTATGGCCTATATATATAATTCTGATCATTGTTTTGCTGTCTCTAGTATTATCACTGTGTGTAAGTTTAAAAATGTCTGGGGGCTAGTCCTTAATTTTACCTGTGGGAAGACAAATGACTTTGGTAGTGCATGTGCCATGACAGAGTACACTCCATTTGTCAAAGTGAATAGTGCTAACCTCTCTTAGTCTAGATGCAGCATATCTGTAGATTTTTACTTGAATATCTACAAAATCTCTCTGAAATACATTAATAATTCAAACATCTGTTTCTGCAATCTAGAAGCACTCTCTGACATTTCACGCACTCATCAGTTTTAACTTGTGTGATAGATAAAGATTGATTTTACTTTGTTCAGCATTGTATCCTGTTTCTTCATCAATTCAGTTAAGTTACAATTTCAGTTTAATTCTCCATTACATTTTCTGCCAGCTCCAGTTATCTGTGGTTACTATCCCTATCTGTAAGACTATCAGTGAACTTGAGAACACTATACTGTTTCTTCCTTTTATTTCAAAGTACTCTAGTAATAGTAAGAAGGTCTGGTAAACAATGATGAAAACTATAATTAAATACACTTTAGTAAAGTTAAGAAGGTCTAGCAATCTATACTCTAGTAAAAGCAGGAAGGTCTGATTAACTAGTAATAGTAAGAAAATATGTAAGAAACTGGTTATCTCAACTTATCTGTACTTTATTAATATAAAGTCCAGTTAAATACACTCATGTACTCGACTTGGGCAAATAGTGAAAGTTGATAATCTACTAATTGTTGGCTCATTAATTGATTAAATTCGACTAATCGATTATTTTCACACGAGACTTGGATGGTTGGAATAATCAAAAACAGTAATAACAGGAAACATTAATTTTAATTAGTTGATTATTTTAGTGACATTAACTGATTTAATCCTAGTTTCAATGCTTACAAGTAATTGATTATGTCAATAAATTGCCCAATTTTAGTAATGGTAAGAAGTTAGTGTTAACTGTACTATCGTAATGATAAGAAGCTAGGGTTAACTATACTGTAGTAATGGTAAGGAGGTCTGATTGATTTTAACCTGGTAATTAAAAAGGTATACTAAAGTAATTGTTAGAAGTTCTGGTTATCTACTGAATATTGTTGCGTCAGCGAGTCACATGACCACTGTGACGCCACGTTTCTAGAACTATCTTGTTTCTTCAGGAATGCTCTAGTGTTTGCTAGATGGGGTAGGCGGGTATATATAAGAGGGGACAACGTGACGCAGGAAGGTGATGCGTGTGAGTAGATAGTGAGTAATTGAACTGCAGTCAGAAGTATTATTGACGTTCGTTGTTATAGCGTTTGTTTAGCGCGATTGTTGAAGTTGAGTGTATCGGTAAAGTTTATATTCGGAAATAATAAACCAGTTTTATTAAGTAAAGACTTGTGTCGTTAAAATTTCGTCGGAACGAAGTTACGGAAAAATCAATTAACAAACGGAGACGTATTTTCCTTATTTTTCATTTCCCAAAAATAATAATAGTGTTTTATTACACCCTGCAATCTACTTTCTATGGTCCATATTCTCACAGGTCATATGGACTTCACTTAATTTGTACTAAATCAAAAATACGTCATAAAAATCAATAAAAGAGATGGCAGTTTATCACATCTTGTAGTACTCTCATATAATAACCAAAAATAAAGATTAGAACAACTATCATTGAACAATAAGTTTATATTTATTTCGACGCTTTCACGTGTTCTCTTTAGTCCAACTTTCGTTTGTGAAAGACTCGACCCTCAACTAACTTGGCAGGTATTTTGGTTTTAAAATCTTACAGGGCTTGAGAGACAACCAGGGGCGCTTAGAAACTGTTGTTTCTCTTCATCCAAAGACGCAGCCTTTTTATAACGGAAGTTATTCAATGACCTTCAGCGATGTTAAAGATTCGCGATCTTTCTATTAGAATATTTTCTATAATTCTTTAGACATCGTTTCTAGTCTTATGTAGTATATATATATATATATCTGGGCTGAAAATATTCAAACTAATCAAAGAGATTGACTGCGAATACCAGGTCGACATAAGATTGATCTATGTTACTGAGTGGTGGTGTGATTTAAACTTAACATGTTTAACTTAATTG